TCCTGGACAGCCCAGGCGCGCTGGGCAGCTTCCTGGGCGTTGGCCTTGCTGTCCTGGACAGCCCAGGTGCGCTGGGCAACAGCCTAGCTGCTGCTTCTGCTGTCCCGGACAGCTTCAGATCTGCTGCGCTGGGCGGCTTTGGAACGCTGGGCAGCAGCATTTTTCCATCAAGGGGCGCTGAAAATCAGTCCAAGGTTCGTCAGNGCTGTCCTGGACAGCCCAGGTGCGCTGGGCAACAGCCTAGCTGCTGCTTCTACTGTCCCGGACAGTTTTAGATCTGCTGCACTGGGCGGCTTTGGAACGCTGGGCAGCAGCATTTTTCCATCAAGGGGTGCTGAAAATCAGTCCAAGGTTCATCAGGGAGAGCTAGGCAGTGGCCTGGGAGCACGGGCTGATCCGATTCCCACTCGAGGCGCTGATTTGGGCGCCTTAGGTGCTGATTTTTAGGCCGAAAATTCTGCTTTGCGCAATTTTGAAGGGTCAGACACCCTTCAAGCTGCTGGGCAACTTTGTTTTGACGAACAACAGTAGTCAGACACACTTTCAGGCGTTGGGCTAGACATTGCAAGTAGTAAGGAAGCTTTGGGTGCTGCCCTTGATGATCAATCCCCTATTGTAGCTCCTCCGATTCAAGTTCCTCAAGACTCTCCCAATGGTGATTTGAACTACTCCTTAAGGCCCCGGAAGAANATCTGCTTGCTTTCGAGGGCCTATAATCAAGACAAGCTGAAGCTGGATCTTAGCCTTGTGCAGAGGGAGCTTATTACTGCTCAGGAGAGGATTGTCGAGCTTGATTCTGAGCTTTTGGTGACCCGTGAGAGGGACGTGCTTCGGGAGAGTGAACTTGTGGCAGCACATAAAAAGTTTTCTAATTTTGAGTCCGAGTTTCTGGCGGCCCGCGAGAGGGACGCGCTCAGGGATGGTGAGTTTGCTGTAGCCCATGAGAGGGCCACTAAGCTAGAGGCTGAGCTTTTGGCAGTCCACGAGAGGAGCGCGCTCAGGGATGGTGNGTTCCATCTTTATTCTCTCCTCGTGCTACCCCTCCTTTGTCTCCTCCTTGTTCAGGAACTTCTACCCAAGTGCCGATTTGGGCTGGTTCTATGATGGGGAGACCAGCAGCTATCAGGGCAAGGCTTGGGAGGTTTGTGTTTGGGCCAGAAGTTTCTGAGCTTAGCGCTTCGGGCACTGATAATATCGTCAACACGTATTTGGAAGGTCTGGCTCAGGTAAGGGTCTGCTATTTCCCTTTCTCCTGTCGTTTCCTGTGTTTTTGACTCTTTTTTTTTTTTTTTAGGTTTCGACTTCCTCCATCTGCTTGCTTTCGAGGGCCTATAATCAGAGACAAGCTGAAGCTGGATCTTAGCATTGTGCAGAGGGAGCTTATTACTGCTCAGGAGAGGATTGTCGAGCTTGATTATGAGCTTTTAGTGACCCGTGAGAGGGACGTGCTTCGGGAGGGTGAACTTGTGGCAGCACATGAAAAGTTTTCTAATTTTGAGTCCGAATTTCTGGCGGCCCACGAGAGGGACGCGCTCAGGGATGGTGAGCTTGCTGTAGCCCATGAGAGGACCACTAAGCTAGAGGCTGAGCTTTTGGCAGTCCACGAGAGGAGCGCGCTCAGGGATGGTGAGCTTGTTGCAGCCCATGAGAGGGCCACTAAGCTAGAGGCTGAGCTTTTGGCAGTCCACGAGAGGAGCACGCTCAGAGAGGCTGAGCTTGTAGAGGCCCATGGGAGGGCCATGCTCAGAGAGGCAGCTGTTGCAGAGGCAAAGCTGACGGCTGCTAGGGAGAGAGTTTCCCGTGTTGAGGAAGACTTGGAGAATGGTCTTGCAGATGCTTTTATTGATGGTTTCGAGGATCTCCGAGGGAAAGTTTCTACCGCTTTCCC